AATAAACAAGCGGACATGCGATGGTTTTACCATCGTTGTTGCTAACGACAACCCATAAAAACAGGCGCTTGTCCGTCTGTAGTGTGGTTATATTAAATATAGGAGAAAGAGAGAACTTTAAGAAATTAATAGCCACTACAGTGACCATCAAAACGATGAAAAAATATTGCCGTAAACAGTTTATTTTGCGACACCACGAAACAAACGACAGCGTAAAATGAAACGATAGATGTTTTTATATCGTCATCCGATATATATCGTTATATTGAACAGCCCTAATCCAGAGACTGATGCTATAACTGGTCCCAGGTTAGACCAGCATTGTCTGCGAAATGCTTAATGCTTCACAATTGAGCAGCTCATCAATTCTTAAGATAAATGGTCTAGAACTATGAGTGGTCTGGTCTGAATTAGCATCAATGTGCCCGAAAAAAATAAAATTAATTAATTAAAAAAATTAATCACATCTTGCAATAAAACAGAGTATCCTTATTTGCCTTAACACATGAAAATCATTTAATTAAATGTTAATTAATGAACACCTGGCAGGATTTTAACTCTGAGGACTTGGAGGAATATCCCACCAAAGTCTGCATAATTTCTTCAGAAAATGGCAACAACCACATCACATTTATTAGTGCAAAGTGTTTGCACCACACACATCCTTGTGTCACAAATGACCACCTCTATAACTGCACCTTCTAACGGGTTGACATTTGATGTCAATCAATGCAAATATGATGTCTTGAATACAGATCATTTTAATCTGAGGAACACAGAGAGCAGACATCTCAAGAGCTAGTATATGACATGCAGTAACACAATAAACATGAAGGATTATTAATATAGTAATGCACCACTTTGTGTACCCCTGTGTGATTCTAGGTATCTGTAACTGTGTGTTTCTGCTACACTTACTGGATCTACAGGGAGTGTGAGCTGCTGTGAAATATTCGTACAGGGATAAGTGCCAATGTGGACCATGGCAAGAGTCCAAAATCACTCATAAGATAACTTTTTTCCCCTCTGTTCCTCTTGCCACTGAATTTCCAGCTGCATCACAAGTATGTGATTACCAAACAGGAGAGTGGTCATTGGTTTTCATTGTCAGGTGCCCTTGTTACTTACAGAAGAAAAATAAATAACACTTCAGCTGCAAAAAAGATTTGGAACACAGCCCAGATGTTAGATTAACTTTCATCTCAGTCAATATCAAGTGATTATAAAACACACCCTCAACCCATGCCCACCATCTAACAAACCTAATTAAGTGATGCCATTAGAGCCTGGACGCTGAAATGAACCGTGATTGAGGACAGGGCAGGATATAACAAAGCAAGTAACAGGGAGGACCCAGACAGCGTTTTCAAGAAGGGATCATTTTAAGTGCACCCAGATATACAGAAGAGAGAGGGGAAAGCGGGAAATAAAAATCTCTGGCATCACGTCCCAAGAATGTCAGCAATGAACTTACAGACCACATCCCAACACATAAGAGTCAAGAGTCAGAATCACATCCAGACCTATAACAGTACTGGAAGAAAGAGAGAGATTGCTATGGAGCGTGTGAGGGTGTAAACTAGAGGAGGACCTGCACCACAGTCCAATGTGCATGCTCCATCTACATCACATGACGCAATCCCACAAATGAATCTGAAATTGTTCTCTTCTGCCAAAAGTTTTTCTTAAAGGGAAAAAAACAGACAGTTAAAGAGAAACTGACGAAGGGGGGTGGGGGGGTGGGGGGGGGGGGGGTTGGGGGACAAAGATGAGTTTTTGAGGGAGTTAGAGAGAAAAGGGAGAAAATATAGGCGATGAGTTTTACTGCATACTTCAGGCTGGGTCACTACAAGTACTTAACACATCAAACAAACTGGATCTGGAATGACCCTGGCTACAGAGGACTGTTCTACAATGGAAATACACAGCCTTGTGACTCATGCTTAGAAAGGTATATAGAGTAAAGCCAACAATACCATTTGGGGGGGGG